AAGAGAGAGGTATTCGAAACTATTCTTAACATTAAATGCTCCGCAAATTTCGCGTCTCCGATCCAGATTCGGAAGAACGCTTAGGCGGCAAGATGTTTATCGATGCAACAACAAAGTGTTGTTTCTCCACAAGTGGAGAAAGATCGGATGGAGGATCTTGGAGGAATTCAACGAGACAAAGAGTTAAACGAGGAGAACTTACTTTTTGCTCTTGGAAAATGTGTTCCCCCAAACGTTCACACGGATCAACAAAGCCCGTATTCTTACAGATCTCTCCGATTAAGACAATAATCGCTCGCGTTCGTTTTTATCCTTCCAGTACTGTTTCCATTCCAGTACAACGTTTCTATTTAACGCCGCTCCACCATCGTCTACCAAAAAACCGCTCCTAAAAACTATTCCTTCCTCTTCTCTCCCATCCTCCTCTGCCGCGAGGGGGAGGAGAGAGGAGAGGAGAGGAGAGTAGACGCGTTACATCGGTCGTTACCTGGCGGCGTGATACCGTGGGGGTTGAGATGCGGATGATGATGGGTGCCGCTGAGGATCCCTTTGCCCTGGAGGTGGTGGGCCGTCGGGCCAGGCGAGCTGGTCGCGGGCAGATGGGCCGCCGGATTGTAGAATCCGGCCGCCGCCAGGGCGGCAGCGCTGAAGTAGCTGGCCGCGGCGACCGCCGAGGACGGATGGGACAATTCCCTCTGGCTTGGCAACGGGGGCGGCGTTCCGGCGCGGCCGCGGGGCTGCCGGGTCCGCCGGGCGGCGGCGAGGCGCTGCCCTGAGAGGACGAGCCGCCTAATATCGGGGGATGAGTGGTGGCGGCGGTGAGCAAGGAGGAGACGCTGAAGTCCGTCGGGCGCGGGGCGGCCGGCGCCGGCAGGTGGCCGCCGGATATGTGGCCGTTGGGGTTGGCCGGCGGCGTGCCAGCGATCGAGGTGGCGGCGAAGGCCGAGTGTTGGGTGTTGAGAGCCGTCGCTGACGCGGGGTACGCCATCCCAGGCCCCCCCGCCTCGGCCCTCGGCCCCGTGTTCGCACCCTCGACCACGTTAGCCTCCAATTCTCTTCGTCTGCGTCGTTGGCCTACGTCGATGTCCTTCAACGAGGAGTCCACCTCCTCCTCCACCACCTCCTCGAGCCGTGATCGCTGCTGCAGCGCGGAGGGTTGCGGAGTGCTGGCGCAGTGGGTACCCCTGCACGCTGTGTCTTGTTCGAATCTCATCGAGACGGGCGGGTGTGCCGAGTCGCGCGAGATTCCTCTTCGAGTGACTCGATGAACAACTGGAACAACAGGTTTCTTCTTCTTCTCCTTCTTCTCGCGCTTTTCTTCTCTTCTTTTTTTCTTCGTTTCTCTCTTTCTCGATTCCTTCCTTCCTTCCTTCTTTCTTCCTTTCTTCACCGCCCTTTCTTTTCTCTCGCGTACTGTACTACTACCACTCTTCGAGGCACGCCCGAACAACTTGGATTTCACACGCACAACAACACAATACACATTACGGGGGAGGGGGATCGAATTTTAGACGTTGCGGTCGGTTTTTTCCTTTTTCTCTTTTCTTTTTTCTCCTTCTTTTCCTTCCTCTTTCTCCCCCGACACACGAGGGATGTTCTTTACCGTCGAAGGATCCGTGCCGCGTCGAGTAACGCCGATGTTACCAGGTGGTGCCGCGCGATTTCGACCGTCGCACGGATCTCGGGCATACTCGAGTTTTTCCAAATTTTCGATTTACGTGTCTACGCTACGCGAAGAGAAAACGTGGTCTGGGAACAAAAAAACGTTCAGGAGCGTAGGCCGCGATCCACGCTGCGTTCTCGTCGCTCCCGCTGCGATCTCCCCTCGAAGTAGTCCGTCGCGAGTCGTTCGCTCGACATCGTACGCCTCCTGAAACGTCTCCTGCCTCGAGAATCCTGACCGAAGCCTTTTCCCCCGCTTCGAGAAACGATATCCGCCTCTCGGTGGATATTCACCGAAATTTACTTTGGTAGAGAAACACCAGGGTGGGAGGAGTTACGCAAAAGCACCGACAAAAGCAAGCACTCTTCCTCTATCCACGAGGAAAGGATCTTTTGATAGATAGATCTTAGTTAATTTAGAACTCGCAGGGACGGCGGTGGCGCTTAGACAGAGTCACACCGTGGCCGAAAACACCGATCGATCGAACAATATCACCAACCTCGAGGACGTTATATATACATACATATATATATATATATAAATCTTTCCTTTGCTTTTTTCACTGTTCACTTTTGATTTTCATTCACTTCTTCGTTTCCAACACCGACAAAGTTCCGTCCCGACAATATCCCGTGATAAGTAAGTAAGTAAGTAAGTAAGTAAGTAAGTAAGTAGTTCGTCGCGACACGCGAGCACACCTCACACTATACAGATATATATATATATATATATATATATCTCGAATATTTCGAACGCGTTTCGTGTTACTCGAGGGACGCGAGACGAATCCAAACAACGTTTACGCGACACCGACACGCGACCAATGGTGGAGAAAAAAAAACTCTCTTTCTTTTTCGTCGAATATATATCTATTCCACGCCTGTTGTCCCTCGTCGCGAGACGGAACGGAGACGGAACGCGAGAGAAGAGACCGGCAACCGTCCGACGGGCGGACGATACACGGGCCGAGGACGAGGACAGTTTGGACCGCTCGTTGTTTTCGATCCTCGCGCGAAACGCGAAAGGCGAGAGGGGCCAAAAAAGCGAGAGAGAGGAGGCGCTCTCTGGACGACACTGTGTGTGCTGTGGGCTGTGCGCGCTAGCCGCCTCGGCCGGGGCTGGAGAGCGGACGAAAGGTGTTACTTGGGTGGCGCCGCGATGGTCACTGAGCAGCGCTAGGATTGACACCTCCTCTGGGGGCTCACCCCCACACCTCCCGCGGAGGTGTTGGTGTGCTAAAGTCCTCGTCCGGATTCAGGGCGTGTGTACGCGCGCGTCTACGTGTGGACCGGAGCGGGGCGGGAGCGGCGGCGGCGGCGGCGGCGGCGGCGGTGGCGGCGGCGGTGGCGAGACAGGGAGAGTGGGAGGGAGGGAGGGGAGGGGAGGGTGGGGAGGAGAGGGGGCGGCGGTGATCTCTGGGCCGAGGGGGGAGGCGGGGGGAGGTGGCGGCCGCGTGTATGTGCGTGTACGTACAGACGGACGGACCGGAGTGTGCCTGCGCCGCTGCGAACGGACGCGGGAGGCGTGAATGCTGGAGGGCAGCGACGCGAAGACTGAGACGGTGCAGGGGCTCCTCCTCCCTTCCCCTTCGACCGTTCGGCCGGGGAGCCGTGGTGGGGGAAACCTGCCTCGACAACCTAGCCGGCGACCGCGGTGCACCACCGCGTCGAACAAGAACGAGACTAGCCGAGCGGCGAGGGAAGGACGAGGAGGGGTAGAGCGCTGTCTACCGACTCCCCCCACCACGGCCGAGCAGCGGGCGATAATGAGCGCTCGTAGTTCGGATTGGCGTTCCGGCGCCAATCCGAGCGGCGTTGCTCTCGACGCCTTTTCCGACGTTCTCTCTCTCTCTCTCCCTCTCTCTCTCTCTCTCTCTCTCTCTCTCTCTCTCTCTCTCTCT